AAGGCGTTTGTTTTTATATCAGTGTTTGTTGCGAATGAACTGATTTGATGGCGATGAAGCGTCTGAGCAGCCTGATGCTGAAGAAGTGGAAGGAGAAGGAAAGATGGACGGGGAGGAGGAGGAGTGAGCCGTATGGAGGAGGAGAGGAAGAAGAGGAGGAGGAGGCAGACAGGAGAGACAGACAGACACACAAAATGATGGTGAGGAGGAAGTCTGAACCGTGTGGACAGACGGACAGAGAGTTAAAGATGGAGGACAAGAAGAGCGAGAGCGGCAGCAAGAAAGAACACAGGAAGTCTGAATCCAACATGGAGGAGGAGGACAGGAAAGACAGGAAGAGGACAGAGACAGGCAGGAACAAAGACAGGAGAAAGTCTGCATCGTGGATTATGGCGGAGGACAGAGCAGCAGGACAGACAGGCAAGAGGCAGAGGGAGGCAGACAGATGTAGGATGCGACGGCGGTCGGAGCCCTGCGGGATCCTGTACGTCCAACTGCTTCCTCTGTCCAACAGGAAGAGGAGGGAGCTGCTGCAGAGACGGACAGGACGCAGGACGTCCTTCAGCGAGGAGGGGGACGGACGGAAAGACAGGACGCAGGGTCACGAGTTCGGACAGATGACCAGAGGAAGGTCGGAACCCGTCGGCCCTCTGGACAAGAGTAAGACAAACCAGTGCATGAACGCTTGGCTTTGAGCTAGTTGTAGTTTTGTTTGCTCTGAGACTGATAGAAACACATGGGTACCCTAGCAACCATGCAGAATCACCATAGCAACCAGCACATACACAGGAGCAACCAGCCAGGGTCCCCGTCACTCAGCGATGTAATTTCTATTGCACATTTCAGTAAAGGCAGGTTTATGTTTGGGCGCTTGACAGAGGTTTAACGGTCACATGACATTTTCAGTCTCAGCAGGATTCAGACTTCTGCGTTGAATCGTCGCCGCTCCCACAGCGTACGCTCTGCGTGGATACGTACCGTCCACTGTAGCCTGATGTACAGCTCCCCAGAAATGTAACCTTGCGTCGCTGCGATGCAGACCTCCAGTTTATTTCAGGCCTCCAGGAAGTGCGCTGAGCTGTGAGGCCATTTTTGGCAGTGGCCAAACAGTGGTCCTGCAGTTTCTGGGGTCACGGGATGCCGCTGGGCCCAAAAATAATTTTCCTCGTAGTCTTACACTGCGAAAGAGACGTCTGTAAATCAGTTAATACTTTTTCAGCTTCACAGTCCCCGTGAAATGACTCGTACCACCATGGCGATCTGATCCATCTGTTACGATAACATCTGGAAAGCTAGCAGAACGCTAAACTGGAAGTTGGCCGCTTGGCTCTGCTCGACCACGCTTGGCGGCAGTAAGTCTCTCGTGAGCCCAATGACACAGCGTGTATCATCCAGGTAATATCACATTGAAATGGAGCGATTTGGGCTTCACGCGCCGCTCAGCAACTTCCACAGGAATGAGTGGAGCCCGGCGCCAAAGCTGTTTCCAGTCATTGGACTTTTACTCTGGTTTAGATATTTAATTTTCTACACATCACACATGGCAGCTTATAAACCTGCTGCCACAGACGTGTTTTATACCTCTGTCCAACCACTCTGGGTGTTTGCAGTGTGTATGTGGTGAATGGTACCAAGTCTACACACACACACACACACACACACACACACACACAGTGTGTTTCCAGCTCTTGTTCTCCTCACAGAGAACAGAAACAAAGAGAAAAGGCTAACAAACAGATGTAATCCTGTTACGGCTGCACAGGTGGAGCAGCACAGTTGGACTCAGCGTGCGTCAGCAGACCAGTTCTTCCCACCAAAACTAAACCTGTAATCACTGTTTGTAGCAGCCTGTGTGAGATGAGGTTAATGTCAGTCTGTATCATTTCACCGTGCTGTAATCTCCCCGTAAGAACGGCTCGGTCTGCACTGAGAGGACACACAGAGGAGTCTCAACACATATATAAATCTGCAGGGAGACGCTGTCAGGTCCTCTCACCGTCATGTCCAGCTGAAACATGTCTCACCATTCCTCCTGTGTGTCCTGTCCTCACAGAGAGTGTTTTTCTGCTCCCTGATCCAGGAGGTGTCCGACTTAAAATCCTGTTGTGTGTGTGTGAAAACTTACAGCTCCAGTGTGTCTGATTTAAAGCTAATATATTTCTTTAGTGTATAACCAGCTGAAATAAGGTCGGTCGTGTCCTCGTATCCTCAGAATGAGACGTAGCAGGCAGCAGGTCCTCATTTTGCAGGACCATCAAATGCTACGACCCGAAGTCTTTGTTACTTGTTAGCATAGCCTACCTAGCTAGCGAGCTAACTCGCTAATCAGTAGCTGATAAGGTTTTTCTTTGGTGTATCAACTTCACTTTGGAAAAATAACTAGCTTAGCGCTGAAGAAGCTCAGGGGCAGCACACTGATGATGTCAGAGGGCTCTGATTGGTGGATTGCAGTGCTGGTCCTGGAATGTGATGTGGGACGTTGATCCAGGAGCATGTCGGGATGTTGCTCCACCATGTTTCTACAGTAGCCCAGAGCAGACAAACTAAACACCAGCTCTACACAGGGACATTCATGTGTTCACATTCATGTCAGTGTAGTTAGCAGCCCCTCTGTGACGAGCAGCGTCAGGAAAACAGCTGCTGTGTGTGTTTCTGAGAGGACGAGACCTCTGAGGATAATTCAGCTCCTCAACAATCAACAGTGAAGGAATTCTGACCAGGAGAAGTTTCAGATGGTTGTAATCTGTAATCTGTAATCTGTAATCCTCACTGATGGACACCTGAATCCTCCTGAACCTGACACACTGAACCTTACTGTCAGTGAATCCCACGTGCACAGCGTCCTCACCACTGTCTCACTTCCTGTCTCAGCTCTAAGCTCATTGGTTCCCTCTGAAGACCTTTAAAAACACTTATCACAAATATCAGGTTTCATTTTTTAAACTTGAAGCTTTTTATCAAAGATATTCTCAAACACAGCCGCTCGTCTTTTGTTCATCACCAACTGTAACTGCCAGGTGCATTATGGGAAATGTTTTTAATCCGTCTCTCACTGGAACAACGTCTTTATATGAGAGAGTATTAATTATTAGTATCACAGAGTATTAACTCTGCTGTGTGTGAGTGTGTGTGTGAGAGAGAGAGTCACTCTGCTCTAATCTGTTAAAGTGCCGGCATGTAGAGTTTCCTATTAGCAGATTGATGTGAGTGTGTATTTGAGAAAGGAACAAGGTAACACACACACACACACACACACACACACACACAGTGTGTACTTCCTGCTCTCTATTGTTGTGTCTCAGTTTGTTTTCGACATTATTCATGGTTTTCAGAATTTCTCCACAAACATGATGTGATCTGGCTCCCAGAGAGCCTCTGGACTTAAAGGAATATTACGTGATTTTTTTTTTTTTTTTAACGTCCTCTGAACTCTCTGTTGCAGAAAACCAGCATTAGTCCTTTAAAAGCAGACGTCCTGTGGACGGTCTGGGGAGAGCGCTGTTGTCTGCATGATCCTGTTTAAACTGATCTATGATACATTGTTTGTTGTTACAGCAGAATGTGAAGGCTTCTGTCACCTCATGACCTCATGACCTCATGACCACATGGCGGTGCAGACGGAGTATTTTGGTGGAATTTCCACGTGATGGCAGCAGGACATTGTCTGCATAACTCTGTATATCTATCAATCTAAGACAAGAACCGTAATACCTGGAGCAGTGATTCTCAACTTACAGCCTGCGGGGCCAAATGTGGCCCGCGACAGGGCAGGAGTGATGTTAAAACTGAAATAAATTAATTTACTGTACACTGGGAATTATGGTACCAGAGTGCCAGGGGAGGATCCTTGCATCTCCGCACCGCCTGACAGACGTCCGAGCTAAACCCCAACAGCCTACAAACACCCTTTTGTACGCCTGACTTGAGTGGGGCCGCTGCGACTGGCCCCTGGCCTCCTGCCATTTTCCAAAAGTGGCACCAGAGCAAAGCAAACATTCATTCATTCACATTCATTGTTTCTCCTCATGTCAGCGTGGGTTTCCTCCAGGTGCTCCCACATGTTCTTCCTGTGTCAGCGTGGGTTTCCTCCAGGTGCTCTGACATGTTCTCCCTGTGTCAGCGTGGGTTTCCTCCAGGTGCTCTGACATGTTCTCCCTGTGTCAGCGT